TAACTAGTAGTATATATATATATATATATATATATATATATATATATATAGAGAGAGAGAGAGGGGGATGAGGAAATGTCTAGGTTTGGTAGGATACATGCCAAAAACTTTGTGATATGGCTTTGTAGACTTTTATATGATACGCTTCTAGAACAATGTAGGTTCCCTTAACCAGCACAATTTTCTGCATTTTTAAAAAAAGCCAAAGGAATGAAGTTACATCGAACCAAACATTTCATTCAATAAAAGTCGTAGGTTTGCAATTTTTAGAAGCTCTAATTCATCATCAATGTCTTTTGGACAATTATTAAGTTTCAGCATGGGGCATGTTTACCTATTTTTGGAACGCTATCACCTCGTCATTACCCCCAATAAAAGGTAATTACACTTTATTTTCTAAAGGTTGGGTTTTGGTATGTTCGGAAGGACACATCTATTACAGTGTGTCGACCATTCTAGAATTCATCTTAGAGGTGTATTTTGGTTCCAAAATTTTACATCTCTATCATCTCGAACGCCATAAAAGGGTACACTAATCCCTAAGATGGTCCTAAATAAAGGTACATTGATATTTCGGAGTGGTATACTGCCTTTTTTATTTAATTATTTTTTTATGATTATCAATAAAATAGCGCAATTTCGTCAAAAAAAAATAAAGGAAAAGGTTTTTATAGTTTTTCTACTGTATAGAAGTTTTATACTTACCCCCATCCAGCCATCCAATTTAGATCAAACAAACCATTGACCATTTGTTCTAGATCCCATGCATCAAAGTATTTTATTTTTAGTTTTTATTTTTAAAAATTATATTAATATGAGATTTGGTACATGTCATCATCTCAATGGGGTGCATCTGTAAAAAAATATAAAAAATATATATTTTTTATAAAATAAAATGACCAAAATAACCATTAAGCTTTCAGGCGTATTTGGTTATTTTAGTTTTTTGTGATTTATTTATTTATTATTATTTGTAGATGCGAGTTTAAGGGCCTCGGTACTTGGAAACCTATTACGGGACCATAGATTACAAGGAAATATGGCATTTCCACTATTTGGGTACACTTAATCCTAAGGAAATGGAAAGATATTACTGGATATTTCCCAAAAAATCAGGAAATCCATTACTCAGCATGATAAGTGAAAAATCTATTACGAGCGTGAGGGATAATTTTGGTAAATAAATTACACAACACAATCATACTAAAAAATTTCATACAACATAATGTGATCCCTCTCTTTTTAAACTCGTCACCTCATCTGAAGGCATCAGTGTCATATAAAAACAAAAATAATAAAAATAAAAATAAATAATCAATGATAAATTATACAACACAATCATAATAAAAAATTTCACACAACATAATCCTCTTAAGAGATTACTAAAATCTCAATTCAAATAACATACATCTTAAGTCTTCTCCAATACCTCAAAATTTTATACTGCAATTATCAAACCTTCTAATTTGCTAATCAAACTTCTTCCCATTTTTTAACTCGTACCCTACAGATTTTGAATTTAGTATCATAAATTTATTTTTTATTTGAAATTATATAAGGAGATATTTGAAATACTTCTATACAAAATAAATAAAAATAAGGCTTATCATAATAAAATCATGTTATTCCAATGACTTAGCATGTTGAACCATTGTCATGTTAGAAAACATGTGATTGCATATAAGTGCCAAAGGCACTTAAAATAAATAGAAAATAGTGTCATGACTGTAAAATGGTACAAGTTATTATTAAAAAATCTTTTTGGAATGGTGAAAATGTTAGCATTAGAAATCTTTTTGGAATGGTGTGATGATGATTTTAATTCAGCATTTTAGCGGAATTTTGTGACAAACAAGAAGGAAATGATAATTCTGTATTTTAGTAGCATTTTGTGACAAAAAAGAAAGAGATAGTTTATAGGCACGTGCTGGTAAAATATTGGTAATGTATTTCCTATATTTCTTCCAGACATAGCCAAACAATAACAATGTATTTCCCAGATTGCATCTAAATACTACCCAAACAGTAACAATCCATTTACATGTAATGTATTACGCAGTAATATATTACGCCAGTAATATATTTTGCAGACAATATATTTTCAGGTATCCAAACGGCCCTTAAGAGAAGAGTGGATGCTCAAATTTTGGTGTCAAAATATTTTATAGAAAAAAGTTAAAATAAAACAGTGTAGAGGCATGACATTGTAATTGAATTCATCTCAACCGTTCATTTAGATCTGATGGCTAGATAAGGAGAAATATATAACGAATATATATTAGGGGAAGTATAGAAAGTTTGCCCAAAAAACGAAAGGCCGACATATGGATGGCTGATTCACCAAAAAATCTTTCCTTTTACTAATGCAAGTGGCAAATTGAGAGCAATGGACCATGAAGGTTAGCATGGTTCAACTTTTCTGTTTTTCCTTCAAGGCATTTCTCGTTTGGTCATGTTTCACATGGCCTTTTTGGTGTTGCTGCCCACTAACTAAGAGGTAGAGCATTAAATCAAATATTTTCAGTTGAAAAAAATGTAATTCATATACAAGTTATTAAAATCTGCTTTGTATTAATGAGACAAAGTCCAAAAAGGCGAAATCCCGAGAAAGATCTTTTTGGTTGCATGTAGATCCATGGTACCGGTTAGAAATTGACCTTAATGTTCTAGAGAATGGTATGTAATTGAACTACATGATTCACGAGTATGGAAATATGGGTCTAGTCTTAAAAATGGTTCATTTTGCATAATGTTATCTTGTTTTATTTGCGTCGTTCAATTAAATCATCACTAAATTCATTGGGCTTGTGCCATTTTAAGAGCTCCAATTTCGGATCTTAGGGATGGAAATGAATTCAAAAGGGGCCTTGGGTTAACATGTTCTTTTATCGATTTCCTAATTAAATAAGGCTTGCAATCCCAGGATTTACCTCATTGTTTCGAATAGATCTAAGATTCAACTCTCTCTCCCTATCTATCTATCTATCTCTATCATCAAGGTTGTTGCTACTTTGAGCAGATACATCCTCAAAATTTGAAGTCCTACAAGTAATCCTTGCCACTACTTTGTTCAAGGGACAGATGTACATTTTGCCCCAATGTAGCCATGTCATGTGGTCTCTATTGAAAAATACGCTTTTACTATAATCTAGATTCTCAAAAATTCATTATTCACCCAATTGAATATGATGTTAATTGTTCACCCCCCACACCCTGGTCACTGAGTTGTGGTTTTCATTCTCAATGACACCACTGTATTAACACATTAAAAAACACCAACTTCTCAACTACCTTGAAAAAAATAGGTAAGAGCATATCTTCTAAACTGAATTACTCAAAAAAAAAAAAACCTTCAATATTAAGTTACAATCTAATGCCGACCTACCCAAATTAGAAAAAAAAAAAAAAGTCACAATAAGCAATGCTGCCTATAAGTAATTTGGACACTTAATGGCGACCGTGTAAGGCCACACCAAGAAGCAAACCACATGATGGAGCTATGGGGTCATATCTATAGTGGAAGCCACATTGGTTCTTTAAATTGACTTTTATAATATTGCTACAATCCATATGACTAAGGGGCACCACCATCCAATTAAGGGAAAGAGGGTGTTGGAGAGGGAGTGCGACCCACAAATTATCTGGTTTTCTATAGTCACCATTTTGTCGATTGCACGGGGATGGATGACACTATGGCTCATAATCTTTTATTATCATGTCGGTCATAGTAAACTGTAGAAAAGGGCCTGGCCGTGGTGGTAGCACCCTATAGCTAGTTATTATGTTATGGTTTTCAATTATGTTGACACCACCCACTGATACCTTCAAAAAAGCTACGTCCCTAATCTATACGAAAAAATATGTAGGGAACTGTCTTCGTCACTAAATTACCCAAAAAAAAAAAACATAATAAACTTTCTATTTTTCGTGGCCATGCGTTAGACCAACAACTATCAGAGTTGGACAGGAATTAGGCTTGAGCTTGGGTGGTTAGCACTTGATGTTTAGCAATACTTTATCTCAAGTTCGATTCCAACTATTGAGTGACCTAAAAAAACTATCACTACTGAACACTTAGGGCCACCTTGGATGTCTCAATAGCGATATCCTGATTATATCTTTGGTAACTCTTCCAACCAGCATGAATTCACTGCTTATAATAACCCACTGAAGGTGGTAAAAGATTTCTTTTTTTTTTTCTTAGCCAGAATCTTGCTATTGGTGGCACTGCTAGAGGTCTCATTCCAAGAGTTGCACCCCAAGAATAGTGACTCACCAAGCTGGCCATAACACATTTTTCGCAAGTCTATGGGAGTTTTACTGTTGTAGCCCAAAAAGGGCCATCCAAACAATGCCTTAATAATATTTTATTATGATTACTATATTCAGAATTCCATGAAATTCAAGTTTCATGTACAAGAGGAAATAAATTAATCTCTCTCTCTGTCAGTTGAGCTTATGAGTTTGGAGGAGCTTGGCATAGCTAAACATCACTTTCATGGTTGGGAACAACAGGGGGACCATCACAGGGGAATGCTCTGTTCATTGTGGGACCTGTATTCCTCTGAAAAATCTACAAAAACAATGCCTTAATAACATTTTATTATGATTCCTGCATTTAAGAATTCCACGAAATTCAAATTTCATGTAGAAGAGGAAATCAATGAATCTTTCTCCGTGTTAATTGAGCTTATGAGTTAAGAGGAGCACCGCATAGCTAAACATCACTCTAATGGCTGGGAAAAACAGGTGACCATCATATAGATAGGCTCTGTTTTTTCATTATGGTGCCTATAGTCTCCCATGGTCCTGATCATTCCCTCTCAAAAATCTACAAAACTAGTTGTATTAATGAGCCTTGTATAGAAGATTGCCTAAAATAGGGGGGAAAATTATTAGTGCACCAGATGTAATGATCTATGCAAGTGTTTGATGACTTAATTACTGACAAAATTGAGGTGATTTCTCGTGAAAAGTAGTAAAATGGTAAAAACTCAGGACCGATCGTATTTGTATTTCGTCTTTGTCAATGTTAAAAGAAGGACACGTGTGATCTAGCCGGCGTATATAATTTGTTTTTTTTTTTTTTTCAATTCTTTTTCTTCTTCACAATCTAGATCACTCACAAGACGTCCTTTTACAATATAATAACTTCAAAAAATAAAATAAAAGAATACAGTAGGATCTCAAGAACTTGAAGCCATTCAAAACCACTCTATTCAATAACAAAGAAAAGATACAATATATGTTTGGTACTAAAAGACATAATCAGTATAATATAGAAGAAACAAGAGGGGTGTCGAGATTACTTCAACCGAGCTTCTTACACCCCACACTGAGCCGCCACCTTCTGATAGCGCAACATCTAATGGCCAACCTGCAATCTCAAATGGAAAGCAAGTTTGGACAAGCCACATCAATGGAACATGAACCCTTTTGATCACAAAACTCAAACCCTAAGTGAATTCCCTTAGCAACCTAGTTTGAGAGAGAGATGTTTTTTTTTTTTACCACGACCTTATAGTCTAAAACCCTAATAAGAGATGAAAGATCATGAGAGATACCATGAGAGAGATGACAACTCTCAATAGCCTAAACCCCTTAGGATCTTTCTCAATGTGGGAGAGAGAGATATTAAAAATGAGAGTGTAGAGTACACCCCCTTTGAGCTTTTATGAGAGAGAGGGAAAACTTTTCTTAAGAGAGAGATATATTCTAAGTGGGACGTGCCTCTTTTGGTAAATTAAGAGAGAGATAGAAAGATAAGGTGTAGAGATTTTGAGTAAAGACAATACTTTTTTAGGAGAATTTGAACAAAATTAGTGTTTTTTAAGGTTTTTTTTGTCTTGCCGCTCATGTGACATTGAATATGCACTATTGATCTTGGGTGACTTATGGGGTGAGAGATATGAGCCGTCCATTTTATAGATGAGCCATCAACAGCATATGGAAAGTCCTAGAATTATTATCCCCCACTTGCTAATCTATTTTCCCATCAATTGATTCAAATAAAAAAATTAATATATGATAATATTATTCTTTCTTATTTTATGCTCAAGCCTTCTCACACATACTAAAAATATAATTCAAAATCTCTACAAGGCTTAAGCTTACCAAATACATCTTTTTTACCCCACAAGACAAGAGCTTGTGCTCTTTAGAAATGGCAAGTTACCTAGGTGGGGTGTTCCACTCTTTATGGCACATAATAGGCTCCACCTAATTTGCTATGGTGGGTCCAAAGGTCTTAATGGGCCTCCCATGAAATTATAATATTTTTATATTTTTAGAAATCATAAAATCATTATTTGAATATTTAAATTAATATAAAATCAATATCTTCATTTTTATAAATCCAAATTTGATAAATAAAATATCCAAAGATTTAAAAAAATTTAAATAAAATTTTTAAAAATCATTTATTATTAAAATAAACAAAATTAGATACTTTGAGCATGAACCACAATCCATATTAATTTTTTCAAATTGACCCAGCAGTTCTCATGACCCACAATCCACTGCAGGGGTTAATGATCGGCCCGCTAAAGTCAATCAATTGACTAGGTGACATAATCTCAGTATGTGGATTTCAAGTTCTCCCCTATAGACAAATCATGATATGCTAGATCATGATGTAATCATGACTCTATGTTGTATAGGGGTAATCTCTCACACTGTACACACTTCACTCTCAACGTTGGATTACTATCTCAGTACAACTATGTACATGCCATGTGATGATACAACGATGATGTTTTAGTCATATTGCTATAGACTAGACATCACATATAAAGGTCACATAGTCCTTCGACTCTCATCCGGGCATACTTCGACATCATTAAAGGCTAATTCACTAAAACCTCCTCAATTTTATCTCTATGACCAGCTACCTTGGGTTTTCTAACTCGGCTGGCCTAGTACGTCATGCCAAGTCCGAGTATTGACAAATTGTATTTGCCTAGTATGGTCCACAAGAGGATTACATTCCTAATGAGTTTATATTTCATTATATACAATGCTCATACATGCTCTCATAAGGCCTTTAAATGCCACATAAACCCAACAATTATAATCTTGTTATGTTCTGTTTGCAATCAATAAAATGATGCACACTTGTCAAAAAAGAGAAAAGAACAAATGTAAAAAAACAATTTACCAGTTTGACTTGAACTGAGTTATGTC